CAGTCTCACTCTTTCCCCTTGGGTAAAATGCTATGGAGTCATAGCTCACAGCAACCTCAAACTCTTGGGCTTGAGCAATACTCTTGCCTCAGACTCCAACCCTCTTCCCTCAGCCTCCCCCTGGTAGTTGGGATTATAGGCACCTGCCACAATGCCTGGCTAGTTTTTCTATTTTTAGTAGAGATGAAGTCTTGCTCTTGCTCATGCTGGTCTCAAACTCGTGAGCTCAGGTGATTCACCTGCCTCAGCCTTCCAGATTGCTAGGATTACAGATGTGAGCCACCGCGCCTGGCCTACATTTTTATCTTTCTGAATTGCACCTCCATCTGTGGGCAACTGAAGAGGAAACAGGTGCAGATCTGACTGGGTCTGCTGCCTGGCGGTTGGGAAAGCCACTCCCTTTCTGGGTCCTCCCCAGTCCACTTGCCTTTTCATGGGTGTCAGAACCTGCCAGCTGCAGTCATGGGTAGAGCTTCCTGCTTTAGAAGGAAGCTTTTCTCTCTCTGCCAGGACTGGCTAAGAGCCCCATGGCCCCTCAGTGTGGGAGATGTGAGCTGGACCTGTGCCAAGACTCTTGTGAGTTTTCTTCAAGTTGCCAGCACTGTCTGATCTGCCTGGTCAACTGGCATTGTGATTGGGTCAGACTCAGTGCCTGTCCTGGTAGTGACCCTAAATTGGATGGACAGTGAGCCCATGGTGTACCCCCTGGGACAGACATGGGTATACCCTGAGTTTGGCTTTGGTGGCTTTTTGGCCCTGGCCCCTTTCTGTTTCCCTATGAGTCCGCTTAAAGCTTTGCCTCAGATGTTGGGAAACTCTTCTTTCAGGCCCTGGCAGTCCAGGAGTGGGGGTGTGGTAGTCCAGGGAACCCTAGGGGATTCCCTTTCCTTAGGAGTCCTAGAGTCAGGCCCCAGGAGGCATAGCTGAGGCCCTATAGTTAGTCAGAGAGGCCTCCCTGCTTTCGGATATAGGGTGGGGTGATAGATGACCATAGGGCTTGAGGCCAGAGGCCCTGTCCCCAAGTTGCAGCTCATCCTCTGAAGGTCTCACTGGCTGGCAGGTGTGCTTGCATTGTTTGCATTCCTATGTGTGAGGGACTCTGACTCTTATCTGCAGCCTCCCTTCTGGCCTGTCTCCAGCAGACCTGGCTACCCAGGTCAGTGCACAGGCAGGTGAGTGGGATGAGATTCAGAGCTGCGTGAATGCTGATCTGAGCTTAGGAAAAGAAAAATGTGTACACAGTTCAGTGTAATAAAAGAGAACAAGGGCTCAGCGCCTGTGGCTCAAGC